AGTGACGCCGGATCAACAAGACCATGTATCCTTTCCAAAAAAACAAGTCTATGGATAACAAGGGCCGAAAATGGGAAATGATTCAAATCACCCGATCGATAATGACGCGTGCTTCCGTCAGCTCCGTGGCCGTCGGATCGGATTTTAAGGAGATGGCTCGGAAGCAACATATTTACCTAGACTAGATTTTGCAACTAAGCCATTGTTGCCATCTCCCCCACCGCAAAAAGTGATGTCTTGCGGGATCTGCATCCCCTCGTAACCAGTTACGTCTCCTGCTCTCCCGAGTTTCCCATCAAGCCGACGCCTCCATGTGCTCCTCCGACCGCCGCCACCGCTGCTCCCCATCGGCAGCACGCCGACCAGGCCGCCAGAAAGCACGCCGATGAAGTCGCCTCTCCCGTGTCTGTGTGTTCGCTCGCGGCTAGTGGCCATGGCCGCTCGAGCGCGCACGTCGAAGCTCCGCTCTGGCCGCTGTTGCCCAGCTATGCTGCTCCGGCCCCAGCTAGCTCCCGGTGACCTGGGGCAGCTGCTCGGGCTGGTCCAACCATTCTTCACTAAACAATACAAAGTAACCATGATTAATATTACTAATTTTTTTGTTTTGAGGAATCACCGGGGGGGCAAGGCACCCCACCTGAATTATCATTTCTCAAGCAGCAAGCTGCACCAGTACACTGGGGAAGCGAGTACAGGAAGGGTTTAAAACGGGTCCTCACACCCAAAATGGAGAGTTGAGAACTACAGCCTCAAGAAGAACTATACAGAGATAGTTAGGAGTATTGGCCTCCAGTCCAGGAGTGAGCTTCTGTCGATTGGCTTGAGGCGAAACGCCCAGTCGGAGAGGTCTGCAGCCGCAGCCTTGACGAGGCGGGTGATGGAGGGGCGCATGCCTTGGAAGACCACTTGGTGCCGGTGGTTCCAGATCCTCCAAAGGAGCAGAAGGCGCACTGTCGACCAGCAGCCGTCGGCGGTGGGGGAGGCAGGTTTTGCATCCCAGATCGATCTGCAACACAGCGGTTGGGGGATGCCGAGAGCTGGCCAGAGTGCAGCGACCCTGCAACAGTCGAAGAGAAGATGGTTTGTGGTTTCTGACTCTTTGTGGCACAGCTCGCAGACATCCTCGGACCGCATATGCTTTTTGAGGAGATTTGCTTTGGAGTGCACTCGATCCTGGGCAACTAGCCAGCCAAATAAGCGCACCTTGTGTGGCGCCTTGGCACTCCAGATTTGGGCTTGGACAAGGCACCGAGTCCCAGCAAAGGAAGTGAGAACCTTCTTGTCGACGCAGTCTCGCAAAACCCGAGTATCCTCGTCCTGTTGGAGTGACGGGATTTCGGCAAGCAGGAGCTCCATCTCACTCGAGGCCACGGAGGATAGCCTTGGAGCGAGGTTAGACCGCAGTCCACCATCAACGACCTCCTGGACGGTGGCAAGCGACCGGATGGAATGAGAGAACAGGGCGGGCAGACGCGTCGCGAGGGCGCCGCCCAGCCCCCAATCATCGAGCCAGAAGGCAGTCTTTCGGCCATCACCAAGCCGCACCTTGGTCAGGTCGCGGTAGAGCGGGAGCAGCTGGGCGACGGGTTTCCAGACCGCGCTCAGGAGGGCATTCTTGTCGTCAGCTCCGGCAAATTCCCTCCAAAACCAGGTGGCCAAAGCGGATTGCCTGGGCTGGTGCAGTCGGTGAAGGAGCTTGACGAGCAGGCTTTTGTTTTGGGCGTCCAAGCTGCGCACCCCAAGGCCGCCGTCACATAGGGGGCGGCAAACATCCTTCCATGCGATAAGACACCTGCCGCCAGAGCAGGACGAGTCTCCAGCCCAGAAGAAAGCTCGACGAAGCTTGTCGATCTCCTCCCTGACTCCGGCAGGGAGAAGGAGCGCCGACATCGCATAGGCAGGGAGGCTTGAGATCACAGCGTTGACGAGGACGAGGCGGCCTGCAGTGGAGAGCAGCAGTGCCTTCCACCCTGCGAGGTATTTGTCTACCTTGGCGATGAGAGGCCGGAAATCCGCCTTCCCCAGCTTGTGAGTGGAGAGCGGAAGTCCAAGGTAGCTTTGGGGGAAGGAGGAGAGCGGGCAACCGAGGGCCACGGCTGCACGCTCGCTGTCGTCTTCCTCCATGTGCATGGCAACCAGGGTACTTTTTGAAAAGTTGATAGTGAGCCCAGTGGCGTTGGAGAAGAGATCCAACGCATGCCTGAGCCGCGCAGCCGCACCCGGTGTCCCTCGGATAAGGATCAAGGTGTCGTCGGCATATTGGATGACCGGGCATGGCATGTCGTCGCGGAGAGGGTGTTGAAGCTCGCCATCCCGGCACATCTTCTGAATGAGGCGTTGCAGGACGTCTGCGACGATGATGAATAGGTAGGGAGACATGGGGTCCCCCTGCCTAAGGCCGCAGCGGCACGACATCCACCTCCCTGGGATCCCGTTGAGGAGGACAGCAGATTTTGCCGAGGTGAGGGGCCATGTCGGGCGATGCTGGCTGGGTAAATGCTGGGCGATGTCACTGTGTAAAGACTTTGCCCCGGCTCGTTGGGCTGGCTGGCTCCACCACTGTCCGGCCCCATGCTACATCGCCTCCACCACCACTATCATCGCATACGCAACACCCCTCCTCCCTTCCCCAACTAGACCGAGCATCAGCTCGAGGCAATGACTGCAAGCAATGTGACACGTTGACTTTCTGCGACAAGACATCAGTTGGAAAAAAAATATGATCTCTGTTGCAAAAAGAAAAAACCCCAAAATATTCTACAACAAGACCATTGCAAAAATAATAATCTTTTACCCTGTTCAAGAATTCATCCGATTAACCAGTTAACTTGCCGATTAATCCCTACTCGTAGGGTCACCGAGTAGCCTATAAACCGATAAATCATCCGATTAATTGATTAAATGTCCGATTAACTTGCCGATTAGCCGATTAATCCCCTACTCACCAGCCAACCGAGCAGCTACCAGTTAACGATTTCCTCAACAATGATCTTTTATATAAAGAAATATATTAGTATAGCGAAGATATCAATTACATCCGGCCTCTACAACAACGAAATGTCACAAAGACATTACGAATGCACACAACCAAAAGACAAAAAGAAAAAAAAGATCCTGCTACAGTGATTAATTTATGGGTTAATTATCCTTTTGCCCTCGGTGGTGTCCATGTGCTCAGTTTTGCCCTCAGATGCGAATTGTGCTCAGTTGCCCCTAGTCCGTGCGCACCGACTCGTTCCGTGAACTCTGCCGTCTCCGTCAGGTCAACCTTTTGACTCGGCCCTTACAGGTGGGACCAGGCGGCAGAAACGGCCAATTTTATTCAGACCGTTGCACGTGTGGCTTGTGGGACCCAGCAAAGAGCCGTTGAGAAGAGAGCCGTTGGCGGGTGTGCTATATAAGCGGGCGACAGCGGCGGTGACCACGGCGACAGAGAGCACGGCGGTGACCACGGCGAGAGAGAGAGCACGGCAGCGGGAAGCTAGCTGTGGAGGGCGCGGCGGTGGGAAGCTAGCAGTGGAGGGCGCGGCGGCATTGAGATCCCCTTCGGCTCCGAGCTCCATGTCTTCCTCAAGCTCCCGCGCCACCTCGCGGATGCAGAGCCGGGCGTGTGTGGACATGCCTGTCTTCGTCTGTCCGCGGTGCCGGGCGGGCGTTGATCGAAGGGTTTCTCAGACACCGAGGAACCAGAATCGTCCGTTCTACGTGTGCAGCGAGAATGGGGTAAGAATCGGGGCAATTACACCATTTTCG